TTATGGCATCATCGTTATTTACGCGCAATTCGTAAATACCGTGCAGAAGGATACAACATAGTGTATTTGTATGAATCATGGGTAAATATCGGGCATAGTGTGAAAAAAAAATGGGTTGATAAAACAATTACATCTCATCGCGATACTTTTGGTGGTGGTGCACAGTTCGTTTTATTGCACGCAGGATCTACCAGTTGATTTGTTGATGGAGTAGAGCTCACATTTTTGGCAAAGAAAAATACTCAGGACTACCACGACGAAATGGATGGACTGACCTTCGAAGATTGGTTCGAAAATAACTTAATGCTAAATTTGCCAAAAAAAAAACTGTTGTAATGGACAATGCCTCCTATCACAACAGAAAGTCAGAACAAATTCCCAACAGTTAAACACTAAAACAAGATATTCAAGACAGTTGGCGAATGGATTTAGTGTCCGCAGTCATTTAAAAACAAACAAACAACAACAAAACATATTCAAGACAGTTCAAGAATGGCTTCTTTTTTGAAGAAGCCTACCTAAAATGCGAGTTACTTGATGTAGTCAAGGCCGTCAAAGCAAAATATAACAGGTACATAATAGAAGATATTGCCAAAAAGCACAATGTGAAGATTCTAAGGCTCCCGCCCTATCACTGTGAACTCAATCCCATCGAAATGGTTTGGAGTGAAGTGAAACAGTATATAGCTGGACGCAACGCGAATTTTAAAGATGAAATGAGAAATTTAATTACAGCAGTGTACCAGGTCATTATGCCAGAGAAATGGAAAAACTATTTAAACCATGTAATAGCAACAGAACAAAAAATTTGGGAAATTGACAATTTGTTGGATGATATCGAACCAATTATTATAAATATAAATAATGGAGATAGTGATGACGATGACGATAATAATGATGATGATGATAGTTAAGCTGAAACTAAATGCGACAACGATTGACAGAAAAAGGAACTAGATATAATTATGTACAATTATGATTACTTACACACGAAATTAAATACTTCTTTTATTTTCAACTTATTTATTAGTTGTATTTTCGGATATTTCTACGTTTTGTTACTGTTAACATCTACAGTGCGGTTTTTAAAAGTTCTTCCCCCTTAACTTTTGAACGGAACAATACATAAATAAAATTTTTCCTTATATTTTAGTTTTATTTTATTTGATTTTATTTAAATCTACAAACAAATGGTTTGTATCGCTAGCACATACCGTTGAATTAAAAACAAATTGCTTGTGTGACATAAATAAAAGGCATTTCTTCATTTCTATTTTATTTTAATTTAACCCAAGAATGTTGTAGCAAATATTATGTATGTTTGAGAACCACTGACAGAAGGAAGCCAGGCAGGGTTGTTAGTGGGTATTAGTACTTAAGCTACCTTCTACACAAAAGTTGGATTAGGCTAAGTAGTAAGAAGTGACATTTATTTTAATACAAGTTTGCAAAGAAGTATGGCATTGATGCTGTGTATTTACCCTGTACAGACTAGTCACTTTGAGACAATATATAGCATGTTTTTAATTTGCTTGCAAAAAATGATAAAACGTCGGCGTTTTTACCATTCTTTCGATAAATTTTACAATATACCGGAGATAACAATAATATATTATCACAAAAATTGAAACATTAAAATTATTTAATTTGCCAGGATTTTTAAAATCATGTGTTAATTTTGTCATGCAATGTATTTTATAGTATTATACTGTGGTATACAATTTATAATAATTATAAGTAATATTTCCAGTAATAGAAACACAAAAGTTATTAGTCAAAACTTGATTTTTTACTACTTAAATAAAGAGAATCTAAAAGTTGTGAAGAATGTTCAGAATAGCAATCACATATTACAAAATATTGATTACTTGATTAATTTTTATCATATATTTACATAATCCAACTTATATGTTTTATATAAGAGTTTAATTTAACAAATTAATTCTTTATTGCAAGTTTATTGAGATTAATATTCTTTTATGGTTCATATAAATTTATTACAGCATTATCAAATTTAGGATTTTCTTTATTTTCTATTTAAAGAAATTAAAAGAATATACATGGGAAATTCAAGCTTTCTGTCTGTAAATATATATATTTTTTAATATTGACTATTTTTTTATTAACATATCTGGTGTGCCTCTTTTTGTGTTCAAATGTACTTTGTAGACAATGTGGTTGATGCCCTTGGATTAAATAAATATACTCTTTGTATCGTTGTATCCGAACGTATGCGCTCCCTTCGGTGTGTATACCGATCACACAAGGATAGAATTTTTTTTTTTTTTAACGAAAATTTCTGTGAAATACACTCTTAATTTGTAATTCACACTTTTATTTGTGACATCCATGTAAGTGAATGGTATACACCGCAAATCACCTACCTCTCGATGCTTCACGACAATACTTTAGTTAGTAGATATGAAATTCAACGCTCCAAGAGATTTGTATTAGAAGTAATTCAAGCGGGAATTTCAAAATTTAATTTAGGTGGGAAAAATTAAATATAGCTTAAAATATTTAAATATAATTTGGTATATTTGAAAAAAAATTGCATTTGAAATTTTAAAATGTGCGAATTATTTTTAAATTCAAATGTAATTTATTTATTTATTTAATACCTGTAAAGCAACTTTGTATATAAATTTAGAATACAATAGAAATATGCTTTATTACCACTGAAAATTGTACAATTTTATGGGCAAAGCTTAGAAAACGTCAGCAAAAAATCAACAATAATTTAATATTTACTGAAATTACATAAATTATCAATATATAATATAAAAGATAATAAAATACACAATATATTGCAAAATTTAAATAAATTGCAAATTGCATGGTTTAAGTTGCTGCATGTGATACTCATATATATTTATACAAATACTTTACTTACTTGTACATAAAGCTATTCGTTCAGAAACTCTTTTACTGAATAACATGGTCTTTCAGATAGATACCTTTTACGGAACTTAAGGAAAGAAATTGCAGATTTATGTTGCAAAGGGAAATGGTTATTAATTTTGGGAAATTCACTTTTTTGCTGAATATAATATACTTAGATTTCTTTACCAACTCAGTGGATGGGTTCAGTAAATACAAAACAAAGGTTGAATTTCTGGTGGAGTAGTCATGATTAGGTCTTGCTGGAAAAACATGTAGGTATTTACGAATTAAGCAGCAAACACTTTCTAAAATATATAAAGATGGAAGAGTTAAAACCCCGTGATTTTTGAAGTAGCTTCTGCAATATGTTATTCTACTGAGGAAAAAAAGATACTGTATTGCTCTTTTTTGAAATTTAAAAACCACATCAGATTGGAGCACCTGTTCGGAACCAAAAAAAAAAAGACCATATTGAAGATGAGACTTGAACTACATAAAATGTTATTTTGGAAGATGCTAAATTGATTTCATTTGAAACAGATGACTCCATGAAGAAACAAAATTATCTAAAGTGCCTGTGGCATATTCGTTTTGTTTTAAAAACTGTAGTGGAATTGTGGAATTCATCATATCTAAATTAGGATTTTTTATAACACTAAGCCACTTCCTAAATCCTATAATGTCTTTATCAGGATTTGCAAAGGCATGTCTAATTGTAAATTAGAAGATGGTTGGTCACTATCTGCTGTATCAAACAGTTTTTAATGTTAATAAAAGATGAAGAGAACAAGAAACTCTCGAAAGAAAGCAATAAATTAGAAGACAATCCTTTTGAAGTGCGAAAACTGCAAGAATTATGTCACAGTTTCCGGGAAGAAAAACAACAACTTGGTCCATAATTAAAGCATCGCATCTTAGGTACCGGACTGCAGCAAAAAACAAACTCTTACACGACAACAGAAGCAATCAAGATATTTGCTTTAAATCATCAGCTACAAAATCAAGATTTTTGGAAAAAAGGGGCAAGATTGGGGTGATTAGACCAGATATTAATAGATATATGTTGATAGATATTGAGCAGCTGGTTATTTTAGCGCCAATGTAAAGGGTTTGATTTCATCTAGAGGAATGGGAATGGTATGGCATATTGATGGCAGCTTTGTTGGGTAGACTTATTTGAATATTCTAGAAAACATCATGTTTTCCAGTGTAGAACAGTTGTATCAAGAAAATAATGTTATCCTCTAACAAGATAATTGTCCTGTTCACACTGCAAATATAATAAACCAGTGGTTCCAGAATAACAACATTGAAACTTTATCATGGCCCAATTACAGTCTAGATTTAAACCCAAGCAAAAATGTGTGGCGGGTTATTATAAAACAGTTGTATCAGCGTAATTTTATACCTGAAAACGCTAAAGAGCAGTGGCACGGTATACAACAGGTTTGGGAAGAGCTCTTTGAAGAAGTCAATTTTGTAGTTCCTTTCACACAGATGGACTGAAGACTGCAAGCTGTTATCAATGCTGATGGAGATAAATATTAATTTTATTGTTACATACCTAAATTTAGTATAGTTTTGGTCTTCCAGACCCTTGCTTTCTCTGGAGAGTTTCTTGTTCCCTCCATTTTTTATTAATAGAAAAACTGTGGTTCTGTTTATGTTAAAATTTTTTGCTGCTTCTGATAGTGCCCAATTAATTTGGTTACAATTCTTGCTTTAATATATTGTTGAGTTAAGTCATTTGTTTTATTCCTTAATAATAATAAAAATAATAATCCTATTTTATGTAAAAACTTTTATTGTAAATGTAAATCATTCATATACTCTTTATAAAATGCAGGGATTCAAAATAATATCAAAATTTAGACCTTAATAATTATTACAATTGATTAATTAACATTATATAATCAATTTTTTATTCTTTGTTTGTTTATTTTATTAATTGTCTGTCATAATAAATATAATATAATGTCAGACCAGTCAAATACACTGCTCAAAATGATCAAATCTTACTAAGAGTTGTATCAGCTATTTTAGGAACCAGCTGTAACTAAACCGATTTCTTACAATGTTTTTAAATTAACACATATTAATACATCATTTGGTTTTAGGGACTGGTGAGTCTGGCAAGTCCACTTTCATCAAGCAAATGCGAATTATCCATGGTGCAGGTTACTCAGATGAAGATAAAAGAGGTTTTATCAAACTTGTCTACCAAAACATATTTATGGCCATGCAAAGTATGATTAAAGCTATGGACCTTCTTAAAATACAATATGGTGATTCCTCCAATCAGGTAGTACGTTTTTTTATATATATATGTATTTTTACTTTTAAATTAGAAATGTAGATATTATATACCAACTCTTTGTAAACAGGCAACATTCTGCTTATCTTTTTCTTAACAGTTGTTCATTTACATAATATTTTCCCCGGAGATTTATAAGTTTAGTGTATCATGAATATTAGTTTACTGTTATCCCTAAAAAGTTTAAGCTAAATAAACATGTTTTGGATATTCTACAGTAAAGTATATATTAAAGTTCCATACTAAAAAAATTGCAATACAGTCTAGGAGGGACACAATCTGCATTCTGTAGTGTAATGGATATGGTGGATGAAAATTGGCATTATTTATAAAAGTTTCTTAATTAAAAAATGTGTATGTATATATAATAATGAAGTAACTTACGGTCATTGACACAGGAAAGTGAAGTAACTGTAAGTTAAAATAATTCATATTTATTACAAGATTAAGGTTCTTGGTATACACATTGCCGAACAACATAATATATTGAACTATGAAAAATTTAATGGTTTTTCAATAATATAAATATTATTCATGAGCTCTTATATATGCATCACATACTTTTGTCTTCACCACATATTTTAGAGAAGTTGGTCACAAGGTGATTCAAATTCTTTCTTTTAAATTTATTACAGCAGATTTTTTTAACAATTTGGAAGACTTATCCATAGACTTTCATGTTTAATATGTTTCAAGTAATGGGAATAGTAGCAATCTGATTCTCGAAGCGTGAACATGTACCGTCATTCAAAGCTCTAGAGAATTTCCTTATCATAAAACTACCTAATTAACTAGTAATTATCTTATCAGCATCAAAAAATTGTTAAAGTGAAAAGTAACAAAAACTAAGTGATTAGAAAAACAAACTGGTTAATCCAGTTAGCCCTAGACTCCAGCACAGATCAGAGGTAATGTAAGTTGATAAAACCTCACCAGCTACAGGGGGTCATGTAAGATGCCCCCATTTTCAGTTTTTATTAATCAACAAGTTGACAGTCTATTGCATTTACCTTTATAAATACCATGAGGATTGTTTTTTAATACGGATGTCCTTCTAATGTTTTTATGTGGCCATACAATGTTTTTAACAACTTTTTATTAAACTGATGATGGAATGATTCAATTCCGAAAAGATCTTCTTTAAAATAAAAATTTTAAGCTTTTAATAAGCATTTTTATACCTTAATACACACGAACACCACGTGCGATGTAGAATATATTTTCTAAGTAAAAATATTAAGAGAATAAAGGTTTTGTATTAAACGAGCACTGAAAGATGTATGTGGGGTCCTTTATCATTTTTAGTGGCGAATTTTGATTTCTGGTCCCAAAAAACTCCAGCTTACCAAATTTCGTGTTGTTATCCCATGCTTATCACGAAATATTTAAAAATAAAAGTTTAACTTTGACACCCTTTATTTTGGTTATTATCAACTTTCGTATTAAAGTAAGTTAGTTTAAATCAGCCTATTTTAATCTCAGGAATCTAAGATTTAGTTATGGCCATTCTTTACCAAACACCATGTATATTATATTAATATATAATAACCCAAATGTCAACAATAATCATATTAAAATTAACATAATTATAAATAGGTAAATATTTATTTAATACAAGTAGCTTTGTCGTAACTTCTTATGACATTTTTCATACGCCATTGGAAGACCTACAATAGCAATGAAGCATCACTATTACTTCCAAGAATTTACTGCCTAGATTTCTGGATTCTGACTATAGTCAATGAACAAAATGCCAAATGCAACATGTGTAATGATTATAGTTTTTCACAAATTGCCATCATCTTTACATTGTTTTCTAAATACAGGGAATTTCATATAATAAATATAAACATTTTTCTAATAAAACCAAAGGATATCTAAGAGATAATTGAAGGGGTTAGAAGTAAAACCGCCTAAGTAAAATTTTCACCAAAACGACTTTAGTGATGTTTCACGTTCTGAATATCTTATATTGGTTGGTAGTAAAATCGACTACGCTCTAACCCTACTTTATCGCCATCTTTTGATGAATAGAAAAAACAACCAAAATTAAATTCACCAATCGTTAAGAGCAGAAATCGCCTTAGCGCACCTAGGCTGTTTTACCTCCAAACAAGCCGCTGGATATAAATATATTTTTATTACTTATGTTGTGTAGGTTCCACTCAATGGTTTGGATTTGTTTATGGCGTGTAGGTTATACTTCTTTAGTAGATTAACAGCAGTGTTTCAAGTGATACTATTGTTTGCAGAAATGATATATTTTGTCATTATAATATTTGGATCATGTTTTTTGAGTTTTGATATTATTTTTAGAGTCAGATAGTGATCCATTCGCTATAGATGGAGAATCTGATTTTATTCCGAGTGAATATGAAGAAGATAACGACAGCAATAATTCTATAATATCTGCCGAGGAAGCAACTATAAGCACACATGTGGAGTATAATATTTGAGTAGTAAAAGTGTGTCTTTTAGCTTGTTAGTTTTAATTTAAGCGAATTTAATCCCTAACAAAAATTAATTTATTATGTAAATATTAAACTTGTAAATAACGGTAAATTTAGTACCTACTTTACAGTTATGTACTTTTAGAAATTTGAAACTTAAGAGTTTAACATATTTTTCCTTTTAAGTAATTTCTAAAATTTACCGAAAAAGGAAGCGTAACATACATGCATGGAAGAGGAATAAAATCACAAATAAGGGGATTGCTGGCCAAAAATATGAAAGCAGAGAAAAATTGAAGAGAAAGAAATGTGTCCAGGAGTATATGCATACGTGTAGGTACCAATGTGGAATATTTAACGACATTGAAAGTAAACGACTCTTCTCTAAGTTGGACAGTTTACCAACCTGCAAACAGCTTTTTTAGCTTCATATATCAGAAAAACTGAACCTAAAAAAACTGGCTAATAGCAAAAAAATTACAGTACAGAAATTAAACTTCTTGACCGCCGTGTATGCAGACTTTTTCCTAAAAACTTTTGATATCAGAGACAGTCGCTTTAAGGTTATGTGTAAAAAAGTTAACAAAAACAATTTTGTGGAGCCTGATAAAAGAAGAAAATATGTCCCAACCAACAAAGTATCAGAGCACGCAAGAAAAATAGTGATTGAATATATCAGATCATTACTACGTAATATTAATCATTACTCTTATAATCAAAATCCAAATACGAAATACCTTTCGTCCGATTTAAACATTCGCAAAATGTATGGTCTTTACAAAGATAATAATTGCACTGATAACGATAAACCCCCAAGAATGGATGAGGGATTATATTTTAATACTGAATTCAATTTACAATTTCACCATCCTCATTCAAATCTTGTTATAAATGCGATCGGTTGGTAAACTCAATATAATCATCAACTGAGGACGAAAAAAGAAGTAGGAGACAATTTAAGTATCAAAAATGTATCATACCCCCATTTACCATCAATTTTATAATGATTTGCCGCAGGAGTCAAAGCAGCAAAAAAAAACACAATGAAAAAAGGAAGCACTGCTGTTAAGTCTTCCAAAGAACATTCCAACGTCGAACAAGACGACTACATAGGTTTTTTCTCAGATTATGAGTAACTCTGGTGTTATAAAAAAGTAAAATTTGTATTTTTTTTTAAGAAAAAATACATATTAATTGAGAATTAAGCTTTTGTTTAGTTCTTTTTGTGTATTATAAATCCATTTTTGCTTAAAGGTAAAACAACCTAAGTGCATTTTTTTGTCGAAAGAGGTAAAAAAAACTAAAATAATTTCTCACCAGAGGTATCTTTAAAATTTTATACTTATTTTGAATTGTTTAATACTTTAAAATTTTTAATTTTGAACATCCAGAATTTTTAAAAGAGCAAAAACTTTGATGCTTTATTTCTCAAAATGTGTATTATGCTACTTAGGCGGTTTTGCTTCTGACCCCTTCAATTGTGTTACTTCGTGATCACTCTAAAAGTTCTGGATATATATCTGGACTTCTTATAGGAATATAACAATTATATCTACAACATCACTGTAAGATCAAAAAGCTCTAGACAGCTTATCAGCTAAATAATCTATTATGGGCTGTTTCTTATTATTTAGAAAATGGTAGTTTCAGATCATATACAAAATTTTGTTTTTTAAATGTAGATTTTTACTGAATTAATAAAAAAAAGTAACATTAAGAGATTGATGGTTGCCTGGATCAAGCTATGGTTGTCATAGTATGCAAAGGGTTGAAGAAACAAATCGCTATTTTATTTTTCCTCCACTACTTTTATTTGTTTTTTTTTGCTATTTCAGGAAAAAGCAGAACTGATTAAAGGCATTGACTATGAAACTGTGACTACTTTTGAGAGTCCATATGTCGAGGCTATTAAGGATCTCTGGGCTGATGCAGGTATTCAAGAATGCTATGATCGGCGCAGGGAGTACCAACTTACAGATTCTGCCAAATAGTAAGTCTCACAACTGCCATTTCTACAAACCAAAATTGCCACTCAGTGTTGAAAAAACAATTTTTTTTAAATTAAAATAAAATTGAAGATTTATACCATTTCTTAACCATAAATTGTAGTAAGTAGTATGTTTATCAATATTTCAAATTTATCTTTATTTTCAGTCAAGCATGTATAAAATTGTTAACCCTAATTAAAATATTTTTGACTTAAAGACGTAATGGTTAAAGACTGCAATTATTGACTAATTAATATACCATCAAGGTTATCATTTCTTTACTAAGCAACACTATTAAAATTGATATCAACATAAAATGTCTGATTATATGTTTTATATTTTTTCTTGTGTCTCATTTAAATTGGCTGAAAATTTGCAGAGTGGTAGCTTTAGTCATTCTGGTCAAAAATTATCACTGTGCCAAGGCTCAAAAGTCAATGTTTTCTGAGTTACAGAGGTTCAAAGTGTCAGTATTTAGTCCTTTTGAATAATAAATATTTGTAAAATATACATTTTTAGTATTAGTAAATATGTGCAACCAACTTCAGGGAATAATTCTGAATGAAAAATAATGTCAGTTTGCTATATAAAAGTTTGCCTGTAAATGCTTCCTTTTCTGAGATATAGGGTGTTAAAATTGTTCTTGCAAACTACCAACTTATGTATTGCCCCGAAATTGTTTGAAGTATGCAAATAAAATTTGGTGGGTTTTAAGAGTTGGTTATTGTGCATTTTTTACATACAACTTGGAATTTGATATTCATCATTCGCGCACAGACAGGAAATGGTCTCATTAGTTTTAAAGAAAAAAATGGTACGCCCCTTCGATTTTTCAAATAAAAAATCATTCTGATGAATATAAAATTCCTAATTGTATCCAAAAATGCAGAATAACCAACTCTTAAAACCCTCCAAATTTCATTTGCTTATCTCAACCAGATTCAGGGCAATAAATAAATCGTTAGTTTGTAAGAAAAATTTCAACACCCCATATCTCAGAAAAGGAAGCATATCCGGGCATGTTTTTAAAGAAAACTGTCATTAGTAGTGAAGTTAGTAGCATGTATTTACTAAAACTCTGTATATTTTACAAATATTGTATTATTTAACAGGGCTAAAAACTGACACTTTGAATCTTTGTAACTCAGAAACAATTGATTTGTAAGTCTGGGTGCAATGATAACTTTTGATCAGAATGGTCAGGATACAAAGTTTCAACCAACCTAAAACCCCAAAGTTTTAACAAACCACTTTTATATAAGAAAAGTGCTGGGGTCCTTTGTCATTCATTATAATTATTATACAAATGTGTGCCACTAACTTAAATATTGTCTTCCTCTTCTTTATGAGTTTTGACCTGCTTAGCAATATTCTTCCTTTCTGCCATTTCAGTTACTTTCCTTCTTCACTACTTGATGTTCATGGCTTTAAGGTGCTCCTCTATATAATCCATATACCATTTACAGGGCCTTGTGTTATTTTTCCTTGGGTTTTCCATCTCTGGATTAATTTTACAGCTTGATTATTCAGCATTCTTTCTATATGATCAAGCTTGATTCATCTAGCTTGTGGTTTATTTTAATTTTCCATGTATTATTGCTACAATGGGATGGTCCCTCACTTTCCAATATCGTTCAGTGTATATCATTGTGAAGTAAAGCTTACAAGCATTTCATTTGCAAAACTCGGAAATAAAGAATGGGCAACATATAAAGATTTTAAAAATGTGCATGGTGAAAACATATAAATGCTGCAGATGAGTCTAGACAACTTTATCAAAATCAGAGCTAGAACCCTGAAAAAAAAATTGAGTCTACTTTTCTGCAGACTTGCAGAAGATAATAATGTTGCCACATTTCAAAACCTCTAAAAAACCTCTGTTTACGCAGTGGTTAACAACATACCACGAAAGTTTTGTTCCATTAGGAAATCAAAGTATGTCAAAACAGTTTACTGTTGTATGGCATAAGGCAATCAGTGGTCCAAAAAAAAGAAAAGCTATAATTATCTGGCTTGATAATTGTTCCAGTTAAACTGTTGGTGTTGGTATAGTTTTCTTTTAATGATTGTAAAATCTCCTGAAATTAATGCTGAGAAAATCACCTTCAACTACTTTGAAGCTGGCCATACATGTATATCAGCAGATAGCTTCCATCATAATGTGGAACAATCTCTAAGAAAACAAGGTAAAACTTGTGCCTTCCAAAACATTTGCAATGCATTCCAGACTTAAAGGAAATCTGTAGAAGTGAAACAAATTAATATTTCAGATTTTTATCAATGGATTAATTATTATACCTTACAAATTAAATTTAAAAAAGATCCCAATCGTGTATATTTGGCTAACATGGTTCAAGTACACTTTCTCAGACAAAAATGTGTTTGTATTACAAGACATCTATCTCCAATCACTACCTAACCAATGGGACTTAAAAAAAAAAAGAATCAACACAAACAACTTATTGAAGCAACTTATGCAGTTATTCCAGAAAAGGGAAAAACTTTTGGATTAATTTACCTGTGCTTGATGAGTGAAAAATGAAAAATAAAAAATATATAACAATAACAACTTGTTTAAAACTATTTTGCTGTTTAAAAGAATATTTGTATTTACAATATTTTCCTATCTGTTTAAGTATTTACTCTTTCAATCTGATTTGAATATTATAAATGTTCATTTAAATTAGTATTATTATTAGGGGAAGTCTCAAATTGTTAGCACTAACGCAGTATTTGCTTTTTTATTGCTAATTATGAAAATATTGTGTATATTTACCAAAAACTAAGTTTTTCGTTTTTAATTTAATTAATTTCATTTCAATAACTTTTGAAATACAGCTTTGCAAAGTCAATCTAATTTTTCTGCTTCATATCTTGTCTAAATACTGCATTTGTGCTTACGAGGGTAGTGTATAATATGATTGCCCATACTTTTAATTACAACCAACATGAAAAGGGCAAGGTGTTTTTTTTTTTTAATTATCTCTAATGAAAAATTTTGAAAAATATGTTTATTCAGTCTGTGGTGGCAATTTTTGTTTATAGAATTATTAAATAAATAATAAAGAATATAATAAAACAAAAAAACTCTAACAAAGAACTTTATTTTAACCAGTTTTTACAATAAGTCATTAATTTGGATAAAAACTGGTTATTTTGTCCAAGTTACATATTTTTTATTAATTACATACTAGTAAAATGGGCTACGTTTTTTAATATATTGATATATTTTGTAAGCAACAAAACTATCCAAAATGTGTTGTGTGGCGAATTTACAGGAAATATCCTTTTAAATATTCAATCTACTTAACCAGTAATATTTCAGGTTATTAAAATAAACTTTTTATACATTAAAAAATACTGTGGTCAAAGTATCATTTGCTTTTTATGTTTCCAATTACTAATTCTATTTACAGAGATTTAAAGTTTTTATATTTTCACTTTAAGCTTTTAAGCATTTTAACAATCCTCTGGCTACCATATTTTATGAATACTCGTAATCCCAGTACTGATTGTGAAGTAAAATAACATTCTAGCTACAATATTGCTCATCTATTGACAGGAACAGATTTTATAGGAACTAAGACATTGTAGTACAATCACCTACCATTTAGTTTTTAATATATTTTTAACATTCTTTAAAATCAGCTGTATATATTCACGGATCTGTCATCAGCTACAACTCATATGCCTTTTAGAACCTTCAAATATCTGTATAAAATGTTTAAGTAAATGAAATCAATGATATTTTCGCACATCAGTCATATCTGATCTGTAAACTGCTCAGTTTACAGGTGTTATTAATTTGGTATCTCAATTGTCTTTTCCCATAAGAGAAGATATTTAAAAAAATTACTAGATTAATAAAATAATTCATGCTATGCTATCAGAATATACCAATAATCTCCTATCTTTACGACTTTTAATTGATAAAAAAAATGTGTAGAAAATGATAAATACATTTGGACACATTTTTATAAGGAAAGATTTATCAACAGTTAATTCACAAAACTTATGGACGATTTATTCCGTAATTAGATGAAATAGAAGCAGTCCTGAATATATGTATATATATATATATATATATATATATATATATATATATATATATATATATATATATATATATATATATATATAAACTGCATTGTATATTATGAGGTTTAACAATAATATTCCAGAACTTCTAATAAAAATTTTTTTGTACCTGAATTATTAATAGCAATCTTTACTATCAAGTTACGACATATTAGTTATAACAAAGATAAAATATATAGCATTTTTTAAAATAAATTTTACATCATCATTTTACAAATCAATTTTAATCTATGAGCTATTTTGGGTCATTTTACTTGTTAATTTTCTGAAATTTCCAATTATAGTCACTTAATTACTTTTAGACAGCTATGATTTTTTCTTTCACATCAAGCTCTTTTTTTTTTGTCTGAGCCCAAGTGAATAGAAGTTTCATTTACTTTTATTTCTTGGCAAGATTTCCTAAGAATACAATGTGATATCTTTAATGTATGATGAAATACAATAAAAATATAATGTTGGTAAATATGTCTACAATATATATTAATGTATTGCTCTTATATTTTTACAATATTAAATTACAGTGCATAAAAAATTTATCTGTTTTCTGGAATATTACACCTCTTTAAAAATAAACAAAATAGAAGATCTACAACCGTACGTTTACAGCTATCTGGAAGAGATAGATAGAGTAGCGGCGCGGTCCTACTTGCCTACAGAGCAGGACATCTTACGTGTGAGGGTGCCCACTACAGGCATCATCGAATATCCTTTTGATCTCGACGAGATCAGGTTTAGGTAGGAGAAATAGTCTACCTACCCCGTCATTTCCTATTTTAAGTTTTACCCTGCACGGGCATTGAAATCAGACTGTGTTCTTATCTCAAATTTAATTTTGAATAACTGTTGTTGCATTTTTGGATGTACAAGTCTTTTAATACCTGTTAATATTGTTACACAGAGTAAACAGTTATTGCTTTCCTAAAAATTAAGGTTTATAACAATTTACGTTTCTCAACTTGTTTGATATTAAAGATAATCTTTTTGTAATTTTTTCTCTATAAATTTGACAATTTTTAAGTATATTTGACACAAATTGGCATTGAAATTTTATAATTAAGAATAATGATTGGGCAACTTTGGCAAGTTACCTTATCTTAAAATAACTTTCTTTATTATTTTTTATGTGGTTTCTTTTGAAAGATTAATCAATATCATAACATCAAAATTCTACTATTTTAGATAATGCTACGATAAAACATTATTTATATACTGTAGAGGTCATGAGGAGCTAGGGTATGCCATTGAAATAACTGACTATGGTATTCTAGTGGTTGTGATTTATTCTTATCATCCTGCTCAGCACATAGTTTGAAGTACTCTGTGGCTGCCATAGCTCAGTGGCTACTAAACTAGCTTACCTCGCTGGACGGCTCAGGTTCGATCACAGCACGGATACCAGACATTTTGCAATTTATAATTTAACTATGCCGCCACCGTCTTCGGAGGGCACGTAAAGCCGTCGGTCCCGGAAACACACGCCCATTGGTACTGTGAGTCACGAAGCAGTTCTAAAATTCAGTTTTTAGATTTTGTAATAGCGTTCATTGCAATCAGTGCTGAGATTGACTGAGTTGTGTAACATAATATTTTACAAAAAACTGCTGCACAATATTCGTGCAACCAGTTGCTCCTAGCATCAAAAATGTAGTAGTTTTCCTCCCATTGAGTAAGCAGTCAGTTTAGAATTTGAATGTACAATTTGATTTTTGTTTTATTTGTCTGGATTAAAAAACCTGACATTAAGCTTATCTGAACAATAAAAAGTCAATAAAGTTGATAGGGACAAGGATGAATGATACCGGATCAACAAACTATTACAGATTTAGATGAAACAATATTTTTTCTGAAAGTTGATACTATAAACTTCTAATATATGCCATATCACTAGGTATGCTAATACAAGGTAAAAACATACTGTTCTCAGCAATAATCTCTAATGATCGAGTCTATAAATATCTACCTTTCAAGTAAACAAATTTTGGATAATGTTATTAAAGCATGAATCTTCTTCTTATGGTGCCCTGTCCAATTAGTGGGTGTTTCCTTCTATCCCCCCTTCCATAATAAGCTTTAAGAACTGGTACTTATAATTTCTAAATATATGACCCAGAAAGCAGTTTTTCTTCTTTTTATTATTGGCAGCAATTCTCGTTCTCTGCTCATTCAATTTAATACTTTGACATTTGTTGTGTAATCTGTCCAGGGAATCTTAAGTAGTCTTCTAAAAACCCACATTTCAAAGGCCTCCAATCGGTTCATCATATTGGCCTTTATGGTCCAGGTTTCTACACCATATAGCAGTATAGAGTAAATGTAACATTTTACAAAGCAATATCGAAGCGTTAAGTTGAGAGTGCTGTTGCTTCTTATATTAGGAATGTTGTTCTGGCTTGCTCAATCCTGCTGCGTATTTCTATGTCTGGATCTAGATCTTCAGTTTTCCAACTACTGAGATATCTGAACTTGGGGACCTTTTGGATGTTCTTGTTGTTTACTCTAATATTTAATTGCATATTTCGTGTTATACTAACCACCATTACCTTCGTCTTGTCTATATTAATCTTCAAGCCCAGTCATTCTCCTTTTCTAATTACTATCTTGGTCTCAAATTATTATCACCCATATTTTTCTTAAGAACTGGTATTCCAGACTCCCAATATAATCATGTCTTCAGCTTCCAAAGACAAGTGTATTATACAAGTGATGAAAATATGGTTATTCCTGTATCAATTGTCATTGATGTTGAGAATACATCCTACTATTGATGATCTATATCATGAATCGCAATTATGTGAGGCCACAACAAAGTGCATCCTCAATCTCAATCAAAACTAATCAAAACACCCTTCATAGAGTTACTCGCTTAAAAATAAAATAGAAACTTAACCAAATAAAATCTGCAAAAACTCATGAAACAATGGAACATTTTAACAGAAAATACTGGACACAAACCTACTCATTCTGAAGGTCGTATATTTTTGAGGCCGACCTCGTATATTTTCTCTAAACTAATTGAGTAAGTCCTAAACGTTTTATATAATGCCCAACTAAAATGCCATAACCTGACCGATTCTAGTTAGGGATTAATGATCCCTTTGTTAAATTTAAAAAATTTCTTATTGAAATGATGAGTAATAATTTGTTACATAAAGTATAATATTATGTAATCTTATAATAGTTTGATATAAAAATAGAGCTATTTTAAGATACTCACTTTATGGTTGTGGTCCCTGGTGGTTTGATCAAATATTGAAAAATTATTATTGATGATTGTAAAAGCATTCTTTACATAATACATAAATTACCATCAATTTTAATAAAAATATACTTAAAAGAATAGATGGATGTATAATATTAATAAAAAAATAATTTTTCTTAATATCAGCTCTAGGATTAATGCAAGTTGACCTAAAACATAATATTTGGGAATCAGTGCTAAATGCTTGTGGTGTTTCATTATTAACGGATATTAATATTGAGAACAAGTTACACAGTCAGATTTCTCGTAATTGTTGATTTGATTGGCATGATGACGACTTAGCGATTTTATTTAGAAAATGATATTACAGTGTTACACTTGTGTTTTATTTGAACATAACAGCCATGTTAGTATAACATAATACTATACATTATAGTTTATCTTAAATTATAAATTTGATTTGAATTAGCTACTTAATGTATGCCACATTTTAATCTCAATATAAAGATTTGGCCTGAAGTCATATTATGTCCTTCAACTGAGGTATCTAAGTTTTAAATTCAGGGAAATTTGACTCAGGGAATATAGATCAATGAAGATAAAATGAGCAAACATTTTTGGTATTATCTATTGATTAGAGCTTTTGGTCTAAATAGCATGTGTTACTGTACATATGTGTACATGTAAGATGCATATCCAGATAGCACTGATGATGGAATAGTTATTCCGAAATTGTTCTGTGATATAGACCAAAATAGGGTTTTTATTATTATACCATTTATAAAGGAATTTTTAAATAAAATTTTTGTGATACATACATACAGGAATTTAGATTGATTGTGGATTTGAACATGAAATATATTTATTACAATAGAGCAGGCATATTTTAGATATTTTAATCGTTTGAAGAAAAATATTAACTTTCCGAAAACATCGAACAGAAAGACAAACATTAGCTGACTACCAGAAATTAGTATATTTATTTAGGAATCGAAATATTGGCACGAAAACCACGGCATTGAAACGACATCCAACAGAACACACCATGGCCGTTTTCGATGGCAGCAAATAGGTCGTTCAAACAGATTGCGCCAAGCAACTGCAGTGGCTTAAGAACTAAGAATTTGTTAATTCTAAGTTTGTGCACCTCGAACCACATTATTATAAGAAGTACATAATTTATAAATCATTCATTGGCAATGACAATTACTATTGAAATTTACTATGGCTTTACACCAAATTATGATTTTTTATTAAAGATTTTTACATTATTAATTAAACTGCATATTTCTTAAAGAATCCCAACATACATAAAATTCTTTAAAAAATGAAAGGTTTTAAATAGAAAAATAGAAAATGTTTTCATTTATTTTTAGAAATATATTGCGCTTTAGGGACATATAAAGTTGGATCTTGGTTGTTTAAAATATATAAGCATTTGAGATAAAACATTGGCAACACTGTAATATTGCTCACGGTTATTACAAAATTTAGTTATATATTGTTTTAAATTTGCACGGTTTTTTAAACAAACACTGGTCAGTCTCTCAAGAGGCACGCTCACACTATCGACGTTATATCCACCATTTGATTGTGCCTATTAAATTTTTGTTTAATATCCACACAACTTTAATAACTATATTTTTGTAAAGAATACAGAACTTTTAAAATAGTTATAGTTATAAATAAAATACTGAAAACTAATTTTATTTTCATAATTTTCATTTTTTACCATCTCAAAACAACTTGTATGATTTTCAATGCTAACACACGCTTTTCTCAAGCGAAATATTTAGATTGTACTAATACTTATGGGTTGATACTGAAAAAATATTTATAATAGAGAATCCATATTTTTTTGACTGTTTTCTGATATTTGTTGCTCTCGCAACTACATCTGGATGACATGCACATATCAATTTTGTTTTTGTTGTGCAAACTTTTTTACGATGTCTATCTTTTACAATGGTCCAAAGATTTTCAATCCGATTACGATCCAGGAGTTTCCTAATCATTCTATATAATAAGGATCAAGGAGTTTCCTAATCATTCTATATAATAAGTTCTTGTCATTGACATATTTCGTCATAAACCTCTGTATTTTTGCGAGTTGAAAATGAATTGGGCATCTTTATCATCCCTCTAATATCTTTCTTAGTAGATGTTTAACTGTTTTTGATTGTCACTCTAACGAAACGCGGTCATTCTCCTTATAAAATTATTATTGTCTTATGGCTGTTGAGGACTAAACTCCTCCAATGAGCTGATATTTTTACCCAATATTATATATAGTTTAAGATCCGATATAAATAAGATATTCATAGATCTGTTTAATGGATAAAAACTATTTGATAGGCAATTTAGTATGTTAAAAATTATAAAAAGGAAGAGGTGCTCGTTATAATTTTGTCTATACTATAATTAATTAATAATTAAAAAATGACTAAAGATATTTTATTCAGTACTTATAAAAATTTTATTATTCTAAACCAAAATATAAATGTTACATTTGTATTACATCGATTCCAATTCATCATCATCATTGGCTCTACAATCCATGGTGTGTCTTGCCTGCTCAAGGATAAGTCTCCATTCTCTCCTATTCTTCGCCTAGGCTTTCCAGTTTCGGACTCCCAACATTCTCAAGTATTCTTCCACCTGATCCTTAAATCGTGCTCTGGATCTGTCTCTCATTCTTACTCCATTTTACGTTCAAAGCATCTTAAACGTTCTTCAGCGCTCTTTGTTATCGTCCATGTTTCCCATGCGTAGGTGAGGATGAGCTTGATAAGAGTTCTGTATATCCCTAGTTTCGTTCTTTTTCTAACTAGGCTTGTTGTTAGAAATTTTCTTAATCGGCAAATAGCCTCTATTTGCCAGATATATTAGTCTGTTAATTTCTGCACTTACTGCATTATTCTGATTAATTTGTGAGCCTAGGTATATAAACTCTCTTACTCCTTCGAAATTATATGTTCCGATCGTTAGATCTTCAGGTTGTGCTGCTTGTATACAATTTGATACTTTCATATACTTCGTCTTACTAGTGTTAACCTCTAGTCCCATTCTTTTTGTTGCTGCTTCAAGCGCCTTGAATGATTCGACCACGTCCGCCTTTCTTCTTGCAATTATATCGATGTCATCGGCGTACGCTAGTAATTGTACACTGCGATTAATAATAGTTCCTCTGGTTGTTATTCGAGATTCTCTTATCGCTTTCTCTAGTGCAATATTGAATAGAAAGCATGATAGGCTGTCTCCTTGTCTAAGTCCTATCTGAGACTGGAACGTTTTGGAAACTCCGTTCTGCACTCTAACTTTACACTCGACTCTTGAGAGGGTCGCTTTCACCAATTTTACCAAGTTTACTGGGATGCTGAATTCTATCATAGCCTTGTACAGTGCGTTTCTTTCAACACTATCATAGGCACATCTAAAATCAACAAATAGATGATGAGTATCAATGCCATACTCATGTTTTTTCCAGAGCTTGCCTTAGAAGGAATATTTGATCGGTCGTTGATCTTTCTATACGAAACCCACACTGATATTTACCTTATCAGTGTGGATTATGTCTTCACAATATCCCAATAGTCGGTCGTAAATAATATATGCCAATATTTTGTATGTTACGTTTAGGAGGGTTTTTTCTCTGTAGTTGTCACATATTGTTTGATCTCCTTTCTTGTGGATAAGTACAATTATACCTACATTCCAGTCTTCTTGCAACTTTATTTGCTTCCGGATTAGTTCTACCAGTCTACACATTGATTACAATTAGTGATTTTTATTCTACTTCTCATTCATCGGGACTAAAATTTTCATTATTGCCTTCGCTATATTCGTTCGCCATCATATTTCGTCGTGCACTTTCAAAGGCGTTTGGTTCTCAATAAATTCTGTTGGTTTTAAACAATCGTCTAAATGCTAATCACAGTTTTCAGGCTGGAGTTTTGTATGTACATTCCGACTCAGTTGCATTAAGCCACATGAAATTAAGAAAAATAGTTCTTTAAAATAAGTTGATTGTAGTGAGTAGAATCATAAATTTTTGTAGAATTGTATCTGGAAGATTGTTTACAACTAGAATTTGAATATGCTCCAGCTGGAAAAGTTAAGGAAAATTTCTGAAAAAATTTAGAACGAAAAATCCACGCTACCGGCCCCCTATTTTCAACCTTTTATCTAGAATATCTTGAAAAGTATCATATCTATGACAAAAGTATGTAGGAGTAAAATTGGTCGCAATTAAATTTCTTCAAAAGTTGCTTGTGTAATTATTAAAAAAAATTCCAGTGCGTAGAAATGAAAGTTTTCGAAAAAAGTTGTAAAAATAACGTTACGGAAATTTTCTTATAAGAAATTTTTAAGTTTCTGCAAATTTGGTATAAAGAATTTGAAGTTATATCAAAAATAATTACGTACATAAAAATGCAATACCCCTTTGTGTTTTATATTATAATCCAGCTTTGTCCCGGATAATTAGAAATGTGTCAAAACTTTGCTGCTTGAAAATTTGTTGGTATATAAATCGCTGATTTTTTTACGAACCTATATTTCGAGCCAACAATATTTGAAACGTTTAAATCGGTTAATTAGGTGCCCTGAGGAATTTTTTAAATGTGTTATCATATTTTTATTTATTTTAAGATCAAAGTATTCATAAATTGATATAATTATTCTGTTTAAACATTAATATACATTTTTTGGATTGCTAAAATTGTTTAAAAAAATCTAAAAAATAATCTAAAAGATAGTATAAAAATAGATTTTTTACGTTATTTTTAAAGAAAAAAATATTTTCATACCTTATTTTCAGATACTCTAATCCAATTTTCCATAAAAAAAAATTCCAAAATGTTGGCAAATTTTCACGAGTTTTTATTCTTACATACTGGAAAATTATTTTTTACTAATGCTTTGTTACACAAGCAACTTTTGATAAAAAATTTAATTGGAAATATTTTTACTTGTATTAATTTTTCTCATAGGAGATTGTAATTTGATAGATATTATTGATACACGGTTGAAAATGTGAAATGTTTTGACATTTTTATGAAAATCTAAGATCTGATTCACTATAACCAACCCTAAATAGATTCCATCAGGACTAGTTTTTCAATAAATTTTAACAATTTAAGAAAGCAGAAGTTTTCAGTGTTTTATTTATATTGTTGTATTTGTTTGTAAATAAATATATGTGGTATTATTCAAAAATTTAATTTTGGGAATAATCCCATCAAATAGGCATAATATACTTATTTTTATTTATACATTATTTTAGTCTAGTTTTGTTTTGAATGCATGTTGCATGGTCGTTGTGTTGGTTGCAGTTACCTTAGTGACCTGGAGCGCATTAAAGATCCCGATTACTTGCCAACCGAGCAGGACATCCTGAGGGCGAGAGCGCCCACGACGGGAATCATCGAGTACCCATTCGATCTCGACTCCATTATTTTTAGGTATGGTAAGTTGGTTAGCGTAGATTTAGTGGTTTTGACATTTTAAATTTTCCTTTGTAATGTAGCTCTTTAAACAATAAAAATCTTAGGTAGAGATGCCAATTTCAGTTACTCTTGCAGTTGTTACTAGCAATTGTGCAATACTTACAAAGATAAGCTGAAGCAGAATTTTATATTTAGAATTACACTTAGTTCATCAAAGAGAATAAAGCAATCCACAAAAAAGTACTACTTAACCCTTCACCTCATTGTCGATATCATTAATTTATTTACTAACACACATTTCATTAACAACTTGATTTCATATATCCGTTAATTTCTATGTCAGAAATGAATAATCTCAAAGGTGAAGTTCACAATCCAAAAGATTATTGATCATCTCAATCAATTCGGATTCTACTCCTTCTATATCTTCATATAAATCCGTATATTCAATCCATTACAGGAGAATAAGCAATATGCTCTCAAAGATTCACCACTTACTCATTTATTGTGTATATTCCATCGTCTGTTTTTGTGGCCACATATATATTGACGAAACTAATTGATCCGTTAAAACATTCAAGAGAACAAAGAGTATTCAAGAAGAGAACACGAACAAGAAGTATTCAAGAGAACAAAGATGCATTAGTTCTGGTCTTTGTTCCCATTATGCAGCGGCAGAACACTGCCGAGAAAACAGATACTCCATATTGATTGACAGAATCCCTTATTCTTTCCAAAAATCTTTACCTTTATCCCAAAAAAGTTCGTGGAGAGGTAAAAATCTGACAAGAACAGAAAGGAAGGCTACTTCTTATCCCATATGAAACCCAACTCTGCAGCAAAATAAGGATAACCATGGTAATTACCAACATCCGCAACAGATAGACAGAATTGTATGCCAACCGATCAGTGTGACAACTAGTCGCATCATCAGAAATCCTTTAAACAAAAGTTTCGATGACAGTGGCTCTTTAAATCTAGCTACTCTGTCAGTTCAGTACATAGTCAGCGGTTACAGTCGCATCAGGGATTGCAACAACACCATTACAAACAAACAGTATCTCTTCAGTCTAATTTGGTAAAAATTGGTGAGTATAATGTAAGCTGCCCACGAGTTGTCGGTGACTGTGGGAGGCTGGTGTTTGAACACCGCCTAAACACAGAAACACATGTCAATTCTTCTTACTTATAAATGTGTAGAAGGAAAATAGGCAGTTTTTCCCACGATACTGAGGAAACGGTAAAGGAAAGTTGACTCTTTCAGATTTTGTGCCTGAGTCCTGCTTGATTTTGGCAGTACATCAGTACTATTAGTGTATGTACTTTATACAGTTTGCCCTGTGCTTGACGGATATACTTCCTCGGTGATTTATGTTGTGGTCGGCTCTGGAACAACGTATTTTACGGCTGATCCTCTTCTGGCAAGTTCATCAGCTCTTTCACTCACACCTATACCAGACTAATCCCCAAAAATAACACACCTACCTTTGTAAAAGTGATTACATCCAGTGAACTGAAGTTGAGATGCGCTATCTCAGCAGAGTTTCCTCTTAACTTCAGTTCCGATCCATACCAAAATACACCATATCAGAGATCCCAGAAAGACGGTTTGGGTGCCCTACACTCCAAAAATCTAGGTGTTTATATACAGATATAGTGGCGAGCATGCGGCTACTGTCCATACAGGAAAGAGACTACAAGAAACGCAATCCGTCTCGACCGAGTGATACATCCCGACCTATTAATTTTTGTCAAATATGAAAACTCTGTAGTAATAATTGGTGCTCTGTTGTTGTGGGCCATTCTCGTTGTCTACACCAACAAGGCAGGTTACTTTTCCCCTTCAATAAACGCTATCAGCACTCTGGGTACAGTAAACTACCAGGATGTGTCGAGAAAACAATCTTTTATTAAACACATTCTCTACAAACACAACATCCGAATCTTAGCCCTCGCTGACACCCTTTTAAAAACAATTCCATACTTCGCAGGATATTACACAATCCACCGTTCTCGCTGCTGAACATCTCGTGGTAACGGCATCAAGTATGGCATCCCATTCTCCCCTCCCACAATCTCTACCCACTTGCCCTCATCGATGAAGACTTTCTAGCAATGAACATTCATGACTTCTATAGATTTTAACGCCAAGCACACACATAGTCCCTGACCTTCTATTTCATAGGATTCACATCCGCTTATATGAATAAAAATGACATATTGATTGTCAACCACATCATATTAATATTAACATGATCCAAAAACTCGATGATGGGTGTCACAATGGCGATTCAATTCTCGTATACCACCTACCCACCCTGGTCAAATACAACCTTCTCCTAAAATCAAACACCGAATAATACATTGAAAGTAATACAGATTATGAACAGAGTGAACTCAAAGTTTTCAAATATTTTGCAATAAACAACGCCTGTCAATTAGGTAAACTTGAAATTCAAATCGATATCGACAGATATATCATAAAAACAGGCAATTATTAAAGACTTCTACGTTCTGGAAGTGAATAACAAAATAGCCAGTCAATTACGCGTAGACTACCGAGACTAACAATACAGAAAACAGCAAAACTTCAGTTTTTTACTGTCGCTGGCTAAATAGCTCTCTTCGCGCTTTGCAACGGACAGATAGGGATCGGTTTTCTGTGGTTTTTCAATTCCATTGCATAATTATACCTGTCCTTAGTGAGGTGACAGGCACACTTGTCCCCAACGCGTTTCATACAACAAAAACATTAAGAAACAAAAAAAGCAGAAGATACCCAAACAGAACACTTAAAAAAATAAACAAACTGCCAGAGAAAGCAGACAAGTCGTTTTTATAGTTTCAGTGGAATCAGATTTCAATTCTGGCTACGTTAAGTACTTGAGTTGGTGTTCATGAATCCCTCCCCGACATTTGATTTACGCCTCTTAGTTAGGTTGAGTACATAAAATACCATGATGAACTACCCAGTCTAAATCCGGAAGGCAACTAGTTGATCATTTTGATTCTGGCCGTGAAAGCCCCAATTTCATAGTATATTAAGTTAAAATACAATGATTAAAATTTAGCTTATTTTAAAAAATTACACGGGTAACAGAATATAACTTCTCCAATACTTTTCCCAAAAGAAAAATACAAATTTTCAGTTTTATGTTTCTTTGCCGTATATACCTTACCCAAAAATATTTTGTAATGAGCAGCGTCTTTAACAATGGCACTTGAATATCCAATTGATTCAAATATTTTCAGATCGCTTGCCTTTAAGTGATAACATATCATTCTTCTTGATGTGCCTATCCGTTACGAATGTTGGCGATCATGGCAATCTTTATCTTATCCATGGCTTGAAGGGGAGCATACACCTCTCGGTTCTTATTCATTCTTCTAAGGACCTCCTCATTTGTGACTCGGTCAGTCCACGGGATCTTAAGTATTCTCGGATATAGCCACATCTCAAATGCTTCCATTATATCTTGCATCTTGCTTTGCAACAGAAGATTGGTTGATGTAGAGTTGACCTTCTGTTATCCTTTTCTTACTAATTATCATAAGCTTTGTCTTTTCAACGTTTATATTAAGTCTATGTTGTTGACTGTAATACGTGATTTTGTTCATAAAAACTTGTAAGTCTTCTAAGTTGTCCGCAAATACTATGGTGTCATCTGCATATCTGATGTTATTAAACCGGTGATCATTTAGTAGAATACCTTTTTCAGTTTCGTGTAAATCTTCGATAAATATTCTTTCAGAATACAGATTGAAGATTAGAGGAGACAAAATACAGCCTTGCCTCACTCCACGCATGATTTTCACATAGTCAGTGTATTCACCTTCAACTCTGAGGTTTGCTGTCTGATTCTAGTAAAGATTTCTAATTATTTTCAGATCTTGGTTGTTAATTCCTGCTTCTTTTAGTATTTGCATCATCTTGGCGTGCTATACTCGATCAAACGCTTTCTCGTAATCAACCAGACATGCGTATACGTTGCAGTTGACCATAACATATCACATCAAGGTCCTATTTTTTTTTCATGGATTATAATACATTATAGAAAACGTGATTTGTGGGGAGGGGAAAGTCCTCATAAATTTTCGGTAGATTTTAATAAACCTGCATTCAAAGCAATTGTTTATCATTAATTTCATCCTCCAAATATGTAGATAACGCCAAATGGCGTCGTCCGCACAGACTGAGAAATAAGAAAGACGCCATACAGCGGCTCCTGCAGAGAAAGTGTTAACTCCGTATATACTACTAAATTTGTTCAAAACTATAACGAAATGTCTTCCGTCTTTTGGTAATTAGTCTTATTTTTATGCATATCTCAAAGTAGTGGTGTGGTGTCTGAATGCAATTTTCTCCAAAAATTGATATCCTTTAAGTTAATGTTGTATGTGTAACTTGACTATTATTATTTCGCCCTACATTTTTTCTATGCGATGAAAAATTTGAACACAAAAATGTTATCTATTTATTTTATTAAAAATCATCAATTCTATATAATCTGAGCAAAATTGATCTTGTTACAGGCTGATACATAAATAATAACTAATTTAAAAATCATTATACTGATTTATCGCACACTTATATCGTACAGTCTGGTCTAAAAATACACCTAACGTTTTTAATTATCTTGCAAACAAGATAAATTTTATAATTGGATTCAGGAACTTCAAGAGTTTCTTGGATTTTTGTTTTATTTTTAAATACAAACATAAAGCACTAATTACAAGGTTTTACTAAAAATCCATTTAGTGAATAACTATTTTTTCCTTGTAAGCTTTTGAATTACTCGTTTCAAGGTTGAAATTAATTGATTTTTTTAACAAGCAGCTTATTTATTTTGAATTTTTCTAATTTCATGAAGTACTAAATGTAGAAGAATCAGAAAATATCAATGTTTTGACAGTTTTCTAAATAAATAATTGTATCTGTTATGTTTGATTATTTAAAGTGCGTGAAAAGTATTTTACTAGACATTATTACTAGATATTAAATACATATGGTATAA